AATTAATTTAAAAAATGTTTAAACTTTATGGAAAATTTACCTTACACTTTTCATACTCACTATAGGTGCGACAATTTTTTTGAATTAATTACTTTTTTTTTTTAGTTTTACTTAATATACTTATAGTGTAACAACCGGAAAAGTTTTTATTGTCATTTTTCCCATTAGGCTTTTTTTATTTTTACTATTATATTTATGATATTCATTAAAAAAGCTGTCACGTCAATTGACAGAGAGATTCTTTTAAAAGAGGTTGCAATTATTGGTCACATAATGTAACAAAATATGATTTTCTACGATTAAAATAGTTTGCTTTTTAGAGGAATGTAAAAACCGACTTACTTAATATTGCTATGTATTGTACTTTAACCTAATGTTTACAGATTATATTGATGCTGAGCATTTATTGAACAATTTTACAAAAATGAAAGTGTGATAAAAACATAGAAAGTTATAAAATTGCAAATTAGTTCCATTTAGCAAGATATACAAAAATTAGGAAGTCAAGTATAGACGATACTTAATAAATATTACTAATCTATTATGTCTACATCAGAAGAATCATCATCATCTGAAGATGTAGTGGATACGAAATTCTTTTTGATAGTAAAATCTGGATCTTTTGGTACTTTCAACATGCTAACAACCTCTTCGGGAAGCGTACTCAATTTTCTTTTTGGCAAAGGTCTTATACTGGAAATCAGCATGTCAGATGAAATTAATAGGGCATGTAGTAAATCTTCCATGTTTTGTTTTCTGCCAATTTTTCGAGAATTGTGTTGGCGGTAGTATCGACATTCTTTATGACGTGCTTCTAAAGCCTCTTCGCTAAGCTGGCCTATTGGAAGAATCAAAGAATTTATGACATCTGCACCGTGGATCAGTATCTTGTGGACGCTTAATGGCATCTTAAACCAGGGATATAAATTCACGAAAAGTCGGGCAGAATCCAGAGCATACTGCTTAAATGCTTCAGGATTAAGATCGTATCCACAAGAGATGGCTTGTAAAACTACGGAGAATCTACGTATTAGAGTCTCATCAATTCCTGTTATGTTTGCTGATAGGGCTGGTTCACTGAAAAAACGCCTGGCAACATTTCCATTATTTGTCGTCCCACTTCCTTGACGCACTACATCTACCAACATACCTGTACGTTGACGAAAAGAATTTGTTATTTCTCGTTTTCTTTTTTCTACGGCTTCTTTTTCAGTTGCTGTTATACGCCATTTTTTACAACTAATTTGTATGAAACATGCAACAAATACTCAAACATTCGAATATGGGCATGAAGGCCTTCGGGTTGAGAGACCATATTTATAGGTTTCTATATTGCAATGTCTTTCTACAACTTTGTCAATGTCATTCATGTCATTTGGGGTAGCTTTACAAATATAACATGACTGAGACGAACGATTTTCAGTTAAGATATTTGCCTATTTTCCATCTATCATTGTTTGAATCAAAACATGATTTACGGTTAAACATCGTCCACCGAAATTCAGATATGTTGGCATTAATTGGTTAATTTGATTTGTTATGTACTCACTCTCTTTTTCTATAGATTCCTTACTTTCCTTTATGAATTGGAGATGCAGTGGCATACAAAAACGCGTGGACGATGGCCTCGGATTTTGCCATATTATAGTTTCGGCATTGTCTGTAACTTTTTTGAATTGTAAGGGTACGATTGACGTTATAAGTAAATCTGTGTCTGTCGAATTTGGGTTTTCTGTAAATTTTTGTTTATATAATGCATGGCTAGAGGATCCATCGAAGCCCCATTTGTATCTCATTTCCAAAGTTACTTGATCTTCTTCCGGTACTACGTGATCGATAACATCTTTCTGAGCAATACATAACCGATTAATACAGTGGTCTAGTGCATTTTGCAAAGGAACCTGAGCAGAAGCGAATGGCTTGCAACTAATGCTTTTACATGTCTTCTTTTCGTTGTATCGCTCGCCAAAGAAAAATTTTTAAGAGGTCTTCCTACTGTTTGAACAGAATTTTCCATAGTTGGCTTGCAGATATAATGCTGTAGCCAGTAGCTATATTGCTTTAAAAAGTTTTCCGACTTTCTTCCACTCGTTTTCCAACGGCGTAAAAAATTCACCGAAAATAAAGAAATGTCCTTCTTAATATCATTTTCGGGCACATTACGGACTTTATTAACAACAAATTTAACCATTTTTTTCCTGGTGTCGACTGTCGTCGCTCGAGAAATAAGTTTCTCGTCTATCAAAAATTGGTAAAGTTTCATTCGTTTAATACCCATCCTGATGTCTGTAAACAAAAAAAATATTGTTTGGCTTGCACACTTCTGACTAATATGAGTTTAATAACATTAAATAGATTAATGTAAAGAGCTTCGATTTTAAAATAATCAGCGTGAAACTACGTGATATATTTTTTTTACACTCCATCAATACTTAGAAAAATTAAAAATTAATATTTTCGTTCACTTATTTTTATTAAAGCTTAGAATAGAAAAAATTCTGGATAAAAATAAGACTTATAAAGCAATTTTACTTACCAAAAGAACAATTAGACATGATCACATAAAATATCTAACAAATTATTATCACTATTTTGACAGAGGAAGCCTAAATCTGCCTCTTAAATGACAACAATAAAGCACAAACTGAATTTATTGACAATTGGGCGCAGTAACCGGGGCAACGAACGGCACACTTCGTTTAAAAAAATAATTTTTATAAATTGTTTTGTATTGCCTGGTTATGAAGTTATTATTTATGAGTAATTTGCTTATTATCTGATATTTTTATTTTGTCTATTTTGATCGCCAATATGCTTATCCGAAACACTGTGCGCCGTCACGTGGTCCAAGACAGGTTTACTTCCGCCATATTGTGTTCACGAATCCTTTAAACAGATAATCGTGGTTTTAAACAACGTTTTTCCATTTTAATGTCGTTTGCAAGCTAAATATATTGTACATATTAAAAGTAAAACAATGGTTGCTTGTGTTCAACGTATTTGTAGCAACCTAATAGATATTCATACGAAGAAATTATCAAAAACAACATTCTACAAATAAGTATACAACATAGTAAATAATGTGCAAGTTTGTATTTGGAAAATTGAGATATTAATTGTGCTTTGAGTGAAAGTGTTGCAATCGCATTAGGTTTTGTAAAGATGAATTAAAAATAAGAGAATTTGCTAAAGCTGGTGCAACAAATTAATGATAAATAATCTCTTTGATATCTTAAATTCTGGAAATTTGCTTCAGTTTTATAATAAAAAGCCTTTGTCTTGTCTTATGCATTTTCTTAAATGACAATGGACAAGTATATAAGGACCGATTTGTTAAACGAAATTTAAATTACTTAACGAAGATTAAAATTACATTTTCACTTTAACAATGTCATTTTAATCTTTGTATTTATCTTTATGTTTTATAATTCCCAAAACCTTTACCAATTATACCTAATTATTTATTCACTGAAGTAGACAAAAAAATAAGCAAACATTTAAAAAAAGTTGGTCGTATCCTTAAGACTGTTCCAGAGTTACGAAAGGTTTGATTATAATTTAGGAAATTTCTGATGATAAAAGAGAACAAGAATAATGGTTCTTTTGAATTCCAAAACAATACGAACAAACAACGATTCATTCTTTACTCAACAGTGTGTTAAATATATAAAGTTATAACCAATATAATTTTATATAAGTGAATTTATCATTTTAATGAATATTCGCTTTTGCAGCAGACCGAGGCTAATGATCAGTTTATTTGTTTGAAATAAGATCGATTTTCCACTTAATCTAAACCATTTAAACGGAGCTTCGAAAGGGGTCATACAAAAAAGACACAAAGCTCATATTAATCTGCTGTCACAAACAAAAGTTACTGGAAAATCGGAGGGCGTGTGGGACGAAATAATAGAAGAAAAAAAATGGATTCTAAGTGGTTTTAAATTTATCACATTGATTAAAATATTTCTTTTAATTTTATAACTATAATATACTAGCGACTGGCTTCCACTTTGTCTAAGTACAATTATAAAAGTAGAATGAGAGGATTTAAGGATTTAATGACAGTGGAGGTTTGTCGGTTTTGAATTTGGGTGAGCATAGTAAGAGAAAATTAAATATTTTCTTTCTTTGGGGGTGTCCTAAATACGTCACTATTGTACACATACATCCAGGTGTTAGTGATCTAGATGACCATAAATCTGGAAGATGAGGCCTCTTTGTAACGAACAATCGAAAGCAACTTTGTCATAGTTATAACGTTATTTTTTCTGGTGTTTTCCCGCATTAACGAACTTTTTCTTTTTGACGAGATCCTGGGTGAGATGACCTGCAGGAAGAACTGAAGGTAAGAGGTGCAACACTCAAGTTCACAACGCACGAATATTATTATCGTGGTTCTCTGTGCGTGACAGTTTATTTTGTTGGTATTTTGACCAAAATAATTTGTTTTAAAGTGCCACATTGCGATGTGAAACATACTTCAACTGATTAGACTACAATACGTAGATATTTTAGTTTTTTTCGAGTCGTCAATGTGTTTAAAGTTTATATCCTTTTTGGAATTATATCCTATTTATTCCACCAAGGTAACATTTGTGTTAATAAATAAAGCCGTGTTTATTTTTAATATCAGTGGCAAATATCACTTAAAATAACGATTGGAGATGATTATAAGTGCAGTAAATGTAAGTTTACTAAATCTGATGGCTATGTTGGATGGGAAGGTGTCTGCTCAAAATGGTTCCACTACTCTTGTGTTGGTCTAACTAATGTTGAGTTTTCGATGCTTTCAAAAACTAAAAATTTATATTTTCTATGTGAACTCTGTAGATGTAAATGCACCATTGTTCAAGAAAAATCCCTGACTGACCACAATAATAGTCTGAAATCAATTGACGAACGTTTATCTGACATTTGCGATGTAGTTTAAAAAACCATCCAGGAAAAGTTAGATGAGGTCTCTAGCTTCAAAAACGAAATTGTCGATATTCTAACAAATGAGAATCACGAAAAGATTTACCTTAGACTCGATGACTTTTCTTCCAATTCTTAGTAAAGTATTATACTCGAAAGCAGTTGCTAAGCAACCTTCTTATGCAATTATGCCTAAGGCAAAACAAGCTACCTCAGTCACGAAAACTGCTATGATTCAAAATATAAACCCTGTATCGTCTAACATCAATATTACTAAAGTAGTTAACGTTCGAGATGGTGGTATAATGGTTAGATGCGAAAACTCTGATAAATGTACCAAATTTAAAAAGTTAGCAGATGAGAAGCTGGTCAATGACTACCTACACAATCAAAGAAGTTCCTGTACTGAATCCTCGCTTCAAGATCGTCGGTATCTCTGAAAATCTTTCTGAAAATGATTTTATAAATGTTATTAAAAGCCAGAACAAAAATTAAATATGTCCAGATAGTAATTTAAAAGTAATCTCCCAATTACCTTAGAAAAAGAATAACAAACTTTTCCAAGTTATAATAATAATTATTATTATAATGTTTTTGACGCCATTGAGCTAAGGCAGAAACATTGTAATTCAATTGACAAAAAGAATCAGGTAGACGTAATTTATACTGATTTTTCCAAAGCCTTTGATAGGTTGGATCATGGCATACTACTAACAAAACTTCACCAGGTCGTAATGTCTGAACAGCTAATAACTGTCATAAAATACTATATATCTGGACGCACCGAATTTGTTCAGTGCGGAATCAAACGAACATTGTTTTGTCCTGATTGAAGTAATAATGTATTCTTTTTCCATTGAACTGAAGAATAGAAAACAATTGCTCAAATGTAGTCTTATAGTTCAAAAGTGACTCAAAATCAGTCCTAAATAACAAAATATTTATGTGGGACTAATTTTGAGTAAATTCTTATGTGTTTCTATTAGTGAAATTTAAATATTTTAAAACAATTATGTAACTTTTACATACAATGAAACCTACACCCTAAAATAAAACAAAATTAAAACTAAGTACTTAAAAGTAAGGGTTATGATAGAGTCGAGCACTCATATTATTTGAAAATCGATAATACTCGACATCTTCTGCGGAACAATCTTATAGCACGCTGGAGTTATTTCCTGTTCGACATAATCCTCTCTAATTGAAAAGCGAGCTAACATGCGATTTTCCTCTTCATTCGCACCCCTAAACCGAGTACTTCTACAATAAGAAGTAATTTGGTTTGGTAATGACTACGTTTGCGTAATGCACTGACTGTAATCAAAGTGTTGCAAGCTGCTAGGTTTCGTCGATATAAAACGTCTTTGTAGATTTTAGAGTTCAAAAGACTTTTATTATCCGTGGACTATTTGGAATATGAGAAAAACAACGAGGGATCCGAAAAGACATTATAATATGTAGCAAATTTTAATATTTTTTGTTTTTTGTCTTTAGTGGTCAATTTTAAAATCATTAATTTAAGTCCTATCATAATATTTTAAATATGTTACCTAGAATCCAAGTAGATATGCTGGAAAAAAGAAGGTATTTTTTTCTTGTAGCAATTAAGCAATTCTATAATACTCCAACTGTTGTCACAGCTGCAATCATCCTCTGAAGTAGATTCGTCAGACGATCCTGTATTTAAAGTAAACACAAGAGAATCTACAGCATTATTAAGAATGTGATATTTTTAAATCCATTCTGATTTGCTTTACATGTTCGAAAATAGAACACCATTCTTGAATAGAAACTTCAGAAAATTTCTTCTGGGCTAATTTCTCCACATCATCCAGTTTAAATGTGGTATTGCGCACTGCCATCCAATTCCTAACCAGTGCCCAGATTTGTTCTATTGGGTTGAATTCTATTGCAATGTAGTTTTAATGTATTTAAATTAAGAATTTTAGAGATATAAATTTTCAATACCTTAATACCAACGAAAATTGGAAGAAAATATATTAAAAATATACAAGGTGACACTTAGAGCAGTATTTATGAAGCCATCATACACATTTTTCTAACTTTAAACAAATATTTAAAAAAAAGTTAGAACAGATTGGAGTAGCATTTTCAATCGTCGACGTGAAAAAAAAACAAATATTTATATTGAGTGAAGATTATTGTATTTACTGTTGCCATTATAGTTCGTCAGAAGACGTGTCACTCTCATTCATATTTATTACAAATTGTTCAATTTGTTGCTCTATAATATAACATTTTAAAATTCCAGTTAAAAATGTTATTTTGTGTGACATCCTCTATAAAATAGTATTCGATTAATTTAAATTCAATTATCGCCGCACGTGCTCGAGTAGCAGAATTATAGAAAGAACGAGATTTGGTGTTCGTTCCCGAGTAGCAGAATTATAGAAGTTCTACTGCATCCTAAGGAAGTTGCCACCCAAAACCATATAGTGGTAACTAGATAGTGGCTAATTTTATTATTGGAGATATAAAAGTTAAATTACCAGGCACCTTTCTTATGGAAAAATGGCTTTCCGTCAAATTTTTTGAAACGTTGATATGTTGTAGAACTCAATGCTCTGACAAAAAGTGTCCATTGGCCCAAACCGATCCTATGACTAGTTTTCGAGGTACAGGGTGTTAAACTTCGAAAATGCCACTTTTTGGTAACCAGAGTTCTCACAAAAGACATATTTTATTCGCGTTTTTTGTAAAAAATATGATTTGTAGATTATTAGGCATTAATATTTTATAGTAAGTCTTTTTCTTTATGACAGCTTTAAAAGTACGTAAAAATATAATTCCACAATGCAAATATAGTTTAAGTAATTGCTTCTTGTTGGTGAATCATATTTTATACAGGGTGACTCATAAATATGATTACAAAGGGTATTTATTCGTTTCAGCTTTAACGAGTCACCCTGTATAAACGATGAATCCTGATTTTTTTTATTAGATTAAATACATGTACAACCTGTCACCCTATGACATACAGGGTGTTAAACCGATTGCAGAAACTTTAAAAATTAGCAAAGTAGTTTTTTGTTCAACACCCTGTATTTTAAAAGATTCTCCGTCAACTTTGTAAATTATTACATTTTTAAATTAAGAAAAGTTTAGTAATTAACTGAGCAAAATTTTGTTGTAATTCTATGACCAGATTTTCTAAAATATTAATCCAAAGTTACTATAGTTAAACGATTTTTTAATATATATTTTGCAAATCATCAAATATAATTAAATACATTATTTAAGAATACTGGATGATGCTAATATATATGTGTATACAGACAGCATAAAAGATGTATAGGAACAAAAAAAATATAGACAGAATTAGAGATTGAAGTATCAAAGGAATATTAAGGTTATGTGATGGTTCCTTGCAATAACAATTGGTGATAGATATATGAAAAAAATATATTCAAGGTTTATTTTTAAATAACACATGAAAATGTTAATAATTTAAAAGCAGGGTCTGCTATCAATTCATTTTTACGAGAACAGTAAAAAAAAACTAATAATGAAGTATCTATAAGGTGCAACAAAAATATATTTGACCTAATATTAGTTCAGAACCATTATCTAGATCTTCCTCAATTATCCTATTTTATGATATTCTCAATATATTTAAACAAACGTGCAGATGGATGCTTAATATTTGCTTGATGTAGTAAAAGTCATGTAAATTGGCAGCATGATATTCTAGGATCGACTGGAGGCAAAACTTAAAAATTTACTTTAAATGACGGTTTCTTGCCTCCACTACCCATCTCGTACTTGAAATCAGACGTGATTAATTAGCAGCAATATTTGTGTACTGATTTTCGTTGTGATTTAGAAAAGAAAGAATGTGAACAATAAGTAAAAGATCATTAAAAAGAAGAACCGAATAACTAAAACCTCTATCAAGTTCTTATAATGTCATTTTGGAATTCTCTGCATAATACCTATTGGAATTCTCTGTGTAATATGCATCATTATTCTTTGAATTAAAAAAGAAAGGGCCATTATTTGTTAATATGTATACTTTTGGCGAGACGATTAGTTCAGGTTTAAATATGTTCTTTTTTATGTAAACAATAAGATTGTCGCAAAATTCGAAAATTATTAATTTTCTCAATTTTGTTATATGTGTAATTTATATAAAGAATGGCTTTAGGAAGATTTGGAATAGAAATATACAATTGATTGGCGAATGCAGTATATGGGGCAAAATTCTGGAATAATGATAATTTACCTAGTTATATAATTTTACTGGTCATTTTCTGAATGCAATAATTAAATATTATTTGTAAAAAGGTATGGGATATACCAAGCCTCAATTTAAAAAGAATTGTGAAAAGTTGTTTTTCTTTTGTCGAATTGATGTCGCGAAATAGATGTTAGTGTCTTAAGACGTTCCTTTAAGAAGCTATTAACATCTTCCCAATTACTTTTTTTTTGTCGTGAATTAGCAACAGATCTCGGCGATTGTTTATGTAAGACAAAGAGCGATTTAGCATCGATGCTGCATTGTATAACCATCTGTTCATCGTTCGTAAGATTTAATGACTCAATTAGTGACGTCGTAATAAATCAAATCGTCTCAAGTATAAACAATCGCCGAGTATTATAGCTGACAATAAGGCCTGTATATTTGATTTTGCTAAGTCTGTATACACATATACATATTAGCATCTTTATCTTTGTCGTGTATAAGCAGGCAGGGTTAGGTTTGGCACATACCACTGCGGCTTCTTGGGTCTATTGTATTCTCCTGCTTTCCCCGTATTCAGGTACTATCGTTGGAATAGTCCTGTGCCTTTGGTAAGTTTTACTAGGTTCTTGGAGCGTTTTTTCTGGTTTTAGACCTAAAAGAGTAAATAGCCACCTAGCGGGAGCTTCGCATTCCAAGATAACATGATACGAGGTCTCTTCCTCTTCCATGCAGTCTACACGTGGTAGAATCATTGAGTAGTCCCATCACATGAAGGTGTTTTAGCAAGCAGTTCCCCGTTAGTAATCCCACGACGATTAATATCTGAGGTCTTGCAAGCTGTAGTACCTCAGCGGCCATGCGTGGGTTTAGTCCCATTAACATGAAGCTAGCTGCTTCTGTGTCCTCTTATCTGTTGTCAGCGAATTTGCTGTTTAGTGAATATCCATCTGTTCACTACCTGTCGGGCAGAGGTTTTGCTTAGCCCAAATACAGGTTCGGGTCCTGTAAATGGTAGATCTGATTCCTCTTTGGAGAGTACGTCAGCTTTTTCATTTCCTTGGATACGTTGGTGTCCCGGTACCCACGCTAGTTTTAGATTGTTGCGGGTTGCAAGATTATTAAGCATTCCAAGGCAGTTCCAGACCAGCAAAATAGATATTAAAAAATCGTTTAATTATAGTAAGTTTGGATTAATATTTTAAAAAAACTGGTCATAGAATTA